TGGCGGTCATTTTTAAATTACAGTCAAGTAAATGTTTTTTTGTTATGTTAATAGAAATGTTTCCGACCTCTAGCTCTCCATACGGAAAAAGATTTTTTCTGTTGATACCCCATTAAGAGCAAGATTATCTCCAAGTACTGCTGTCAACAAAAAATTTACAGTTTTGTAAAACTATTAAATGCTAACTCATTTCCATATTTCTTTAAATTCTGCGTAGCTATAAAAGCAGTATGAAATATAAAGTCAAGCTTTGAACTTAAATATTGAGGGAATGTTGGAAAATTATAGTAGCAGCCACAGATGTAAAAAGTGTGCGTTCCTAGCGCATTATTTACTTGGAAATCGTCGAAATATATATTGTATGGTACTACTATTTCATTTGAAACACAAGAAAGTACTGCTTTTTTAAAAACTGTGCCACTTACAATATTACAAATGTTTTTGTTATTAAAAAGTTTCATGGTATTTGCAACTACAATGTCTAATACGCCATTTAATTCAAAAAAGGATTTAAATTGAAATGATAATGGCATAATTTCAATAGTTCGCTTTTTTTCTGACAATGTTGGAATACCTTTNACCCTGATACCTATTTTTTTTACTTAAGTGTTTAATAATAAGATATTGTGATGATATGTTTTCAAAGGCATTGCTGCAAAAATTGGAAAGAAGTTCTAACTCTGAAGTTAGGTTCTGCCTTGTTAAACTCTCTCTTTTTACAACGTTGTTTAAACATTCTGAAACAATTTGAAAAGATTTTGCGAATTCATTTTGTACAAATAGTACATCTTTTCTAGACATTGAACTTTTTGAATACAATTTTAATGAAAATTCCAATAAATTGTTCGAGAGCTTCGAAATCAATGTATTGTAATCTTCATTTGAAACTCTATATTCTTCATGTAATTGTACATTTAAATTTTCAATAGCACATGGCTGAGTTAATTTTTGCTGTATTACTTCATTTGCTGAGCTTTCAGTTATATTTTTACAAATCTCTAATTTTTCATTCATATGTTTAAGCAAATGGTTTTTGAAATTACCGAACGATGCAAATAATTGCTTACAATTACCAAAAGTACAAATCTTTGTATCACTTTGCNGAAAGAAGTTCTAACTCTGAAGTTAGGTTCTGCCTTGTTAAACTCTCTCTTTTTGCAACGTTGTTTAAACATTCTGAAACAATTTGAAAAGATTTTGCGAATTCATTTTGTACAAATAGTACATCTTTTCTAGACATAGAACTTTTTTAATACAATTTTAATGAAAATTACAATAAATTGTTCGAGAGCTTCGAAAACAATGTATTGTAATCTTCATTTGAAACTCTATATTCCTCATGTACTTGTACATTTAAATTTTCAATAGCTCATGGCTGGTTTAATTTTTGCTGTATTACTTCATTTGCTGAGCTTTCAGTTATATTTTTACAAATCTCTAATTTTACATTCATATGTTTAAGCAAATGGTTTTTGAAATTACCGAACGATGCAAATAATTGCTTACAATTACCAAAAGTACAAATCTTTGTATCACTTTGCTTAAGAGAGTGATATGATTTTAAATGTGCTATATAACAGCATGTTGTTTGAAACAATTTTTTACATAAAAAGCAAATCATATTCAAATATATAAATATTATTTATTTTTAAGGTAATTTACAAGCGACACCAGAGCAGGTGTTTTAATATCTGACGTTGTTTCGATCTCAAAGAAATATCTTTGAATAAAGGTCCAAGCGTTGGCAGCAATTGCGGGATACTTTAGATTTAAAACTTGAAATATTTTAAAAGTACAATCCAGACATTCAATAAAAGAGTCAAACTTGTAAATGATTTTATCAATATAAGCAAAAAAGGCTTTAGGTGATAAATATGTTCCCTCCATTATTATAAAAGGTTGAACTGTAAATGAATTCATATAACATTTGTCAACATACTTTTGAATTTCTTCATAAACATTGCCTATAGTTTCTACTTTGATAATAAAGAACTCTTGCGCGTCCAATATTGTAGCTTTTGCTTTTGATGCTCCTGACGTGTTATGGAATCTTGCGGTTGGAGGTAAAATTGAATGTATTAGCGTTGTTAGCACACAATCTTCAGCATCTAAACAAGGAGAAAAATACATATTTACTCAAATTTTTTAAATTGGTATTTCAATATATTAGGTCTTATGAATAAAAACTAAGCATTTGCTTTTTCTTAAAATTATTTGAATAAATCGAGTAAAAGGTCTGAAATTTTAAGAAAAATCAATCGCTTAGTTTTTATTCTTAAGGCACATTATTTTCCGCTTCTATGACCTCTTAAATTTGACATACAGGCAACCACAAAAGTCTAAGCACAGAGGATTTTTTACAATGTATGCAAAGCTTTTTAATTAAATTTTTTAATTTCAATAGATTTTCAACTTTCTAATCAGTTTTGTCTATAAAATTTTAGTATAATAAATTTCAAATTGAAAATTACTAAACAATCCCGTTGATTTTTGATAACATTTTTGCTGACGGTCTCACGCATTTTTTCCATACAAGGTATGTTAAGCGATTCCTTTTTATATGGAAAAAAGTTAGCAAAAAAAAATTATCAAAAATCAGACTAGCAGTTATCAACTACAATTTAATAGGCTACAAAACTGTATAATAAAACTTTTTATAAAAAATCAGATTAGAAGGTTTAAAATTTAAATGAGAATTCACTAAGTTTTCCTTAATTTTGCAAAAGGTTTAGAAATTTAATTTTTATGTTTTTTTGTATATGAACTATATTTTTATAAAAAAATTACCTGAAACCAATTAAAATAAAAACATTTTCATACTTTGCAATGCATTGTAAAAAATTCTACGAGCCTAGACTTAAGTGGTTTACTGTATACATACAAAATTACCTATTTGTTTCACACCACTTAAGTCTTTTAAAAGGGATTTGCAGGCGGCGTTGGCAATATTTAAGTAGTAATATTCTCGAATATTCTGTTTAAAAGCACTCCATTTAGTTTTTAATAAATGTTCTTTGTTAGGATGCAACCGCTTGAAGTCGGAGTTTATCTGTATACAAAAAAATATGTTTATATGTACATGGAAGTAAATGAGCGATATGGAAAAATTAACTGCGAGCCTTTTTAGTTCATACAAAAATTTTTAATTAACGTAACAGTGAAAAACGCGGGTGATATGTTCAATATAAAATTAGAGAACTTACCAGTTGGGGACCTCTGGCGTCTTTTAACTTTGGCCACTCCTTAATAAAATCGTAATTACTCAGAAGTGTTAAATCGCGTTGTCGAATGTTATAAGATCTGTCCCATCTGTCTAGAACCACTTCCCAATCCGATGATTCCCTTCGTAGCTCCTCTTTTATACTAGCTTCAATCGATTCATCAAACTCAGTTGCTAGATCAGGAATTGAGGTATCCAAATTATCGCACCTATGTTTAGTTGTTCCTTTTTTTTTTCTTTCCTTTGCGGTAATATTTATATATTTTGAAAATAATTTTCCAGCAGGCGGTCTTTTCCCTTTACGCGGAATGTAATAATATTCCTAAATTAAAAAAGTTATTAGTATGCACCTACATTAAACGTTTTGATAACACTTTTAATTATATCGAAAATTTTTTGCATTACCAAAGAACATTTTTCTTCAGGAAACAACATTTGTATGTCTTTTAAAAATTGCTCGAAGTTGACGGGCCTTAATTTTATATTATTTGCAACAACGTGTTCCACAACAGCGTTTATAATCCGATCGCGTTGGCTATTATTTAAATGTCCGTTGCACTCATAGTAATCATGAATGGTTCTACCAGCAGAACAGTCTTTTAGTATCCTCTTTAAAGACTAATAAAAACGAGTTATTTAAATATTTTTCACTGATTACATATAATGTATGTATTTATACCACATAATGGAATTCACATTGGTCAACATTGCTGTGCAGCCCGTCAGCATCATAGGTCTGAATAAAAATGACGTACATAATTAACATCTTCCACTTGCTGTATGAATTTTTATTACGCTAACAATAGTGGTATCCACCAAAGTGAGCAAGTGGCCTGGCTGTTGTCAACAGTCGTTGCTTGATTTGGTGAATACAACTAATAATGCGCATAAGATGCGCAGGGTGATTAAAAGCAGCCACGCGGAATTACATATTCCTGCGACGCAAAGGGCTTGTGGAAGCACGGAAGCCGTTTGCGTACATTCATATATGTATATGTACATACATACATACATATGAGGGAACCACTTCAACTCTCCTAAAATGTGATAGCGCCATTGGTAAGCTGAGGAAAACTACTTCGAAATATATACACATATACTATATGTACATATATATATACATACCATCAGCGCAAATTGAAACCAACAATTTAGGGCTCGCGCGCCGCGTTAGGAGAGTTGATGTGATTCCCCGATATGTATGTACATAGTAAATGCGCACATAAATATGTATGCATACTTGTACTTCTATGGACAAAGGAATGCAATTCTATCGCTTTCACATGCATTATTTTCATTAACAAAATACACTAGCACTTTCAATAACAATGTTTTTTAAAAAAATATACATTACATACCTGCTTATTTCGCCAATCAAAAAGCTTTTCGCGGAATTCGGCTCTTATTCCCACTTTTCTTACAGCGTCGGCGATATCTCCTTCGCTCAAATAAGGTAAATGGCGAAATTCAATGCCAGCCGCTAGAACAATCAATATTACATGTTTATATAATAAATATTTTATACAAATTACTTCTACTTACCAGTAAGTTCTTCCAGCAGTTCATCCAAGGCAAAACTATGCAAAATTTCTTTTAATTTTTCAGACATTCTTTCTTCTCCATCAACCACAAGCTGCTACAAAATCATAACGGTATAAATGAATTGCGCACAAACAAAACCATTGTTCGAACTACAAAACCAGTGTTCGGAGGACTGTAACTTGATTTAGGAGTAAATCACTTCAAAAATTGGAGTAATAAAAAAATTGTCGTATAAGATTTCCATTTTTATTTTCGCTTTCATACGAATCAAAAATTTTAAAATTTTACATGGGACAGATCTTATGAGCAAGTAATGTTTCTATTCAATTACTCATGTACATGCTTCTAAAAAGCACTCTGAAACTTTTACTTAGATGCAGGAAATACTAAATCACTTAAATTTATTTTCAATTGACGTAAAAACAAAAACGCGAACCAATGTAAGAATAATGTGTTGCATATTTATGTAGTTATGGGTATTTTATATAAAAGAGAATATGTATACATTTCAGATCTTAAAAAAAAAGCATAAGGCCCTGGACCTTTTCTGCTTTATTAAAACCTCTTCCTAAATTAATTTTTTTAAACACTTAATTAATTGCAAAAAACGGGACCAATAGGCCCAGAATGTAAGTGAAAAAACGGCACAGGTTTTAAGTCAGGAGGAGTAGAGGAGTAGATTTAAAAAATTTAAAAAAACCGGAGTAAATCTCCTTTGATCGGAGTGAAGTCCGAACGTGATGCCAACATCTTCTTGTTCTCTCTCCGCTCAACATACATATGTACATGCGCCGTTCGTGAGTACAAGAGCATGTACGTATGTAAGTATGAATGTGTTGTCCTCTATAGATGGCATTTAAATATGCGCGTGCTAAGTTTTGGCCTGCTGGTATTATTTATAAGTACGCACATTTTTAAACGATAATCAAATATAAAGTNTTTACAAATTCATGCCTGCATGCGCTTGCAAATAGGCAAACGATTTGTAAAAACATTTGTTTGCACTTAGAAAGAAGCTGGCTCGCTTGCTACGATTTGCTAGCTCGGCTATCATTTGTTTGGAAAGAGAAGAGTGCGAAGACTAGTGGAAACAAATGAAAATCTTCTAAAGCATGATATGAAAAATATGTAAACAATTGTGCATGTGTGTGTTTGCAAATTTGAAAATATCATACATAAATGCATTCAAAGACTTGTGTGAACAGGACTGGAAGGGTAAATCAGGCAAATATGGGATTTATGTAAATTTTTTTAGACAATTATAGGTTCCTGAAGGAACTCTTGTGTTGGGCATAGGTACCGCGAACGCGATCCGGTTTTAGTTTAGTTCTGCACGATAACAAAATGTAGTATCAAGAACGTTCCCGCAAAAGAACCAAACGTGAACAAAAGTATTGAGAGCAGTTTGAATAGCAACAAAAGGCTTGGCAACGTTTCCGCAAGAAACAAAATGCGAACAAAGCTCTCGAAAACGTTTTCAAAAAGAACAAAATGAGAACAAAACTTCAAGAATGTTCTCAAGACGAACATAATGAGAGCGAAACTTCCAGGAACTTTTCTAATGGAAACGAAAGTATAGAGAACGTTTTCAAGGCTTAACAAATAAGAACAAAAAAAGTTTTGTGCTCGCTTGCATTTTTCATGAATATTTCAGAGAAGATTTGTCATCGTTCCGTTATCTTTTAGAAAGTTTCTGAGTCATTAGATTGGGTTTTTAAACGTTCTTCTGAACAACATTAGAACGACATTTAGTTTCGAACATACCGTCTTTTCTCGGTCCCTGGCTAAAATCAGTGAAAAGCAAGCCACTTCATGAATTTCAAAACCCTAACTTAAACCCTTTTTTTCAGATCTTTATTATACCAAACCTCAAGAAGCAGCTTGAATAAACTCTTTCGTTACATGTGACTTATTTAATTTGGAACGAATTTCTGTCATACCTTGTCAATTTTGGTTTGAAGGAAAACCGGTTTCGGTATACACATATATTGATAAAAAAGATCAGTACCGAATGCAAGAATCATACATATTTACCGATACTTGCATCGATAATATTTTCATAACATTTCCGATAAATCTATGTTATGTTATGGACAGATACATATATATGTACATATATCGATAACTTTTTCTATAACAATTTTAATTAATTTCTATAAATATATCGATTAATATAGAAGTCGATAGATAATCCAATATAAGTAGCAGTCGAAAAGTAAACGAAAACAATTTACGTAAAATATAATAACTTCCGTTAACGAAATTTTTTTTTATAACTTCTTCATCGATAACTATATCGCTAAATTTACATGCAGAAAACGAAAAATATTTATGAAACCTGCAAACTGGTTTGGTTTTATCGATAACCATATAAATAGATGGACAATCGATAAGCAAAATCTGAAAGTTTTTTGTGTTTTATCGATAACTATATAAGTCGATAGATAATCGTTAAGCGGTCGATGAATTATCGAAAAAAAATTTAGATATACCAAACACCTTTTTTATAACCATATTAACAAATATCGATAAATATAGCGATAACCTTAGAAGTCGATAGTTATTTGATAAGCGTATCAGTCGATAAATAAAGGATAACAATTTACTTAAAAAATATTATAACCTTCCAACAGGATTTTTTTAATTTCCAGTTCATCGATAAGTATGTGTATCGATAAGTTTAAATGCAGAAAACGCAAACTGTTTTCACAGGAAAATCAGAAAGTTCATTTCGTATTATCTATAACCATATAAGTCGATAGGTAATCGATAAGCGGTCGATAAATTATTGATATAAGTTTACGTTAACTTTCGATAACAATAATTTTTTATAACTTATATCAATAAGTTAATAATATGTTTCCATTTCGCATCAAATCTAAAAAAACAAAACCAACTTTTTTGCACTTAAAGATCTTATCCGTTCTCCCCTTGACCCTCCTTAATCAAAAACCATTTTCACTACAATCAATGAATGGATTAATCTGACATACACTGTAGCTATGCACAATCTTACATCTATTTTCCACAATCGCTTCGCATTTAAGTACATAAGATTGTGCTCGAATGTGTGAATTGGCAAATAGGAATTGGTTTCATCTTCAGCGCCCCGAGAAGTGCTATGTACGATAAGCAAAAATTGCCAAGTGAGAGGCAGAGTTAAACGAAAAACACGAAAATGAAATGCTGAAACTGATCATTGCAATTGGAATTGAACTCTTTTTTTCTCTACCATAGACCAAAGCAATGTTTTAGTTGGACAATAGTAGAAGCATATTTTTTTTTTTTGATTTCTTGCGCCTCCATTGCATCTAGTTGTTTGTTTTGCATTGTTGTTGTGAGGCTGTGGCTGTGGCTGCATCTTCTTGCCTGAGGTGACTTTTTATTCGAAGGCAGCTTGCTTGGTTCGGTTGTACGAATTGCTGTTGTTTTCTTTATTTTTTTTTGTATAGCTTTTTGTTTGCGTTTGCATTCACATGCAATTTGCAATCAGAATTTGATTGGAAATGTTGTTGCATGTGGCTTGTAGCATGTACGATGACGATGTCAATATGGAAAATTGGCAATTCGAGC